CCAGCTACTCGGGAGGCTGAGGCAGGAGGATCGCTTGAGCCCAGGAGTTTGAGGTTGCTGTGAGCTAGGATGACGCCACGGTACTCTAGCCCGGGCAATACAGTGAGACTTTGTCTCAAAAAAAAAAAAAAAAAAAAGTTATTTCCAGTCACAGCTAATTATCTTAAAGCACATTACTTTGGTATCAACCATCTAAAGCTTTTCTTAAGCATCTGATGTATTTAATTGAGCACCTATTACCTGGCAAGGCACTAGGCAAGATTCTGTTGATAACAGATTCAAGGCTAAGCAAGAGAGTTTGCCTTCAACACATAAACAGTATAGTTGGGATGGAAAAAATCTATACACCATCAACATAAGGTAGAACTTGGATCTTTAAGAAAGACTGTAAGAGAAGAGAGGAGAAACAGCCTACTTCAAGCTGAAGAAAATGAGGTAGGTTTTTATCAAGAAATCAAGTTTAATAAGAACATGTGATCACTTGAAAATATCCTGTTTTGCAGAAGAGAAAATGCTTTTCCAGATCACTTACTCCGTAAAGAAACAGGGAAGTCTAAGGCCAAAACCCCAGAAAAGAGAGGTCTGATTTTTAAAATTAGGGCTGCATATGATACCATTTTAGCTATATTTAACTACTGTCAAAAACACAGTTTCTGTGAAAGAGTGCATTCAGAGTTCCAATTTAGGAATAATAGGGGCCTATTTCCCCCTAATCCAGTAACAGAGAACTCTCTAATCAAGAGGCAGCAACTTCAACTGTGAAAGGACTCTGTCACTTTAAGTCATAACAAAAATACGCTACTCACCAATTGTTTTGAATTTTAAAATGATGGAGAATTGGTGGTGGAGCATAGGAAGGAAAGTAGGAGGATCCCTGGGATGTGGGTTAACCATACCCAGTAATATGTAAGAGTTATTCATAGATGAGAGGACCTTCTGAGTGATCTCTCTTCCTGAACCCAACTTCCAAATGTGCATGTATATTTATGCCATAAGCAGTAAAAGAATAAACATAGTACAAACATATCTAAATTTTTATTTTGCTTAATACTTAATATATTTTTAATGTTCCTTAGATGCATCATCTATTATTTTGCTTTGGCATATGAATTTTTTGAGGGCAGGGGGCATTTATTCATCTAAATACCTGTTTATCACATATAGTTTATCATCACTAAATATGTCAGGCAGAGAGGTATTTATAAAATACTTCAGGATAGGGTACACAATTTAAATTGGATATTAAAAAGAGAAGTTAAATAAAATCACCACAAATGTGCTACAAAGATGAGTGACTAATACAAAAAAGCTTAAGTAATACTCTTGGGCTTAGTTGTTAAACATAGCTATCCAACCCCACATCAAATTTTGACTATCTTATCTGCCACAACCAAGCTGTCTTTATACAATGTCACCACCTAGTGGCCAAAATGGAGAACTGTTTGGACCAACATTGTTCTGCATCTCCTTTCTTGCCCCCTAACAAAATCAAACTCTTTCTTGCTCTACATTTCTCTGTTAAGAGCTTGATACAGTCTTCCATAGTCAATATTTACCTCTATATCCATATTATCTGAAATGAAATAACATGTACTAATGAACCCAGCTATTACGAAATATAGTAGAGCCTTAATAAATGTGTCCTTTCACATCTTATTTTCCTTTTTCTTATGATTTTTTACTCAGTTATCTCTCTTCCTCTCTTTGTTGAATGTAAGTATAAAAATTATCATATTCATTCTCTATGGATGAGTATGAGTTATGTTCACGATGCTGCCCTAAAAAATGTCCCACTTTATCCCCAGCACAAAATAGAAAGTCTCACTTTAGATTACTCCACGTTTTTCTGAAATTGACAGAAAATACATTTATATACCCAAAGGAAAAATCACTGGTTTTCCTTGAAATTCATTCAAAATATAAGAACACATCCCTATGGACAAGAGGGATGGTGTTTAAGTATCACTATTTTTCATCCAATCACAGGAAGAATAGATCCTTGACCATTTCTAAAAATGTTATCTGTACCATTTTCTAGACAGATTACATTTTCCTACAAAAACAATAGTCCAAATAGGTTTCATGGCAAGACACATAAAGTCCATTTACTTACTATTTCATCTACCTCGTAGAATTAAAAAACACATTTATGAGACTAGTTTGGAAATCTACTTAACAGGTACATTCAACAAATATTTTAATTCAATTCATGTATTTATCAAGCAGCTGAAAATTATGTATAAAACACAGTATTTCAATAATACACAATGAATAAGTATTTATTGGATGAATGAAAACCCAACGAAACGGAGCCAATTATCCACAAAGATACGAACAAATCAAACAAAGGAATCTGTGGGCTCTGTGGTACACAAAGACCTTTAAAAGGATAGCAGGTATGGATAATTTTACATGAATCCATTCCCAGCTCCTCAAGGTCTAAATAAATGTACTCTTTACTAATCTACCTGAAAGGCTCTTGTGGTACATATTTCATGTCACCATTCTCCTTTTCCATATTCCCTCTGTGCAAACAGTCTCCTTCTGGTTTGTAAAAGAGAAGCATACACCTCTGTCCTTACTATGGTATACTTCTAGGAAGTGTAACCAAAAGATTTTACTAAGATTTGGCAAATGAATATTAATTAAACCTGTTATTCTTTTGCTAAAAACTATCCTCTTTAATATACTAGGAAAAGTTTGGGAAAAATTAACCCTACGTTGGACTGCCCCAAAATATAAAATCCTCCATGATA